TTTCATACTTTATCTATTGTCTTATTCTAATTTTATAGTAATAGAAAATATTTCGCTAGACTTTTTTCGCCTCATTCGATTCCATGAATTTTAGGTTCGTTCGCTTTTCCCTATCCTTTGGCCATCGTCTGATTTTACAATGAAAGCTTGCGTCTGCAACATTTCATATGAAAATTGACTTCGTAATTATTTCCATAAATGACGGCGAGTCCGATTCATCAAGACGCTAGCTCCATGAGTGTAGATGATGAAAGTTCAGATGAGTCGGTAGAAAACCGTTTCAATCTTATTTCTAGTAGTACCAGTGGAGATAGCGATGATTCAGAATCCGACATAGGCTTAGCAAATGGCGCATCTAAATCCCGGTGCCTTACTTCTTGTGTTAAATCCGCCAGGAGGGTCTCTCGCCGCTCCAGTTCATCAGATGCCGAAGATAAACATCGTGGACGCAAAAAGCCCACTTCAAAAGACCTCAGATTTACCTCTAAAAAATTCTCAACTCCGCCATGGACTATTGGCGATCTGGTGTGGGCCAGGCCAGGGCGCCCTGATCGATTGCCATGGTGGCCAGCCATCATTGTGAAGCGGCCCAAGAATCAAAGGAGGCCATCTGGTAGAAAAGGTGAGTGAATATGTTCCTTCTACATTTTACTCTATATCTTACGGTTTTTTTTATAATAGTTGCCAGGAAAATGGTCGCTTAGTATATGTAACTTGATGTCCCTTTATCTAACCTTAAGTTGTTCCTCACTTGTACTTCTTTTAGATTGAGGTTTTATCCACTTTGTGTTTAATATTCATCCAATTAACGATCAAAATATAGGTTTTAAATGAAATTCGGCATCTTGTTGGTGTTAAATCTATTCGAAAAATATTTCAGCTTTGAATTATTTATATATCTATCTACTCTCCTTTGCTAATTTTATTTTTATATTTTTGCTCTTCATATTTCTCAAGCATGCTTGCAAGTCCATCGCAATGCCGAAACAGAACCCTCTATTTTTCGAGTCATTCTCCTTGGCCCTCCTCGACCTCGTTGCCTTCTTTCCGTGTCCCAAAATCGGCTTCTCGAGTATGCTGGGCGACACGCTTTCGAAGAATATCTACGAAAGAACATCTTTAGAGCATCAGACAAGATCAAAGTAAGTCATCCATATATATTAAATCAAAAAGTATTATAAATTTATTATAACTTATCGGAATTGTAGGCTCTACGCCGATTCGCTATTCAGCCCAGCCTTCAGAGTAATTGGTTACTGGCCCGTGAACTCGCTGAATCACTCTTTCATTGTCCCCGAACTAATCGCTTGGCTCATTTCCCTTGGTTTTTTGATCGTACTTGGCGTAATTTCGCTTCAGCACCTGTTGCTAAATTTAGCAAACCCAGTGATACTGAAGTCCTACTTAGATCTAGGCGCACTCGAAGCTTTCGCTCATCACCAAAGCCAAAAACTGGTAAGCATATTTAATAATATGCGTCTTACTTGCTTCTCGATATTTTCATTTTGCACCTAAATTAAGCAAATAAATCCTTCATAAACATATTAGGGCCATAGTAAATAGGTTTCGATCTTGAACAAGATCCTTACAAAACAATTCCAGGTTACGTTTCTTGGAAAGCTAAGCTAAAATGTTCAAACAGAAAAATATTTGCTACTTAATGTGTGTGTCAGTGAATATATTTCGCGTAAAT